ACTAAATGTGGCTATGTTCAGTCATAGGCAGACACGTGACATTTTACATAGAGACTAAGTACAGTGGATTTAGCATTATTAGAACCTGCCAGTAAACACACGGTATGTAAAGCTCTCCTGTCTGAAACCGGACAGTATGCTCTGCGATTTATACTAGCTGCTCACAGGTGGTTGTTAGCATTTTCATGTTGTTTGATGAAAAGCATCCCAAATGCTGCCGAACTGCTCAGAAAGTAGCAAATATTATGGTCACTTTCTAAACGCACGATAACTGCTTGCTAATCTCTTCCAAATATTTTAACGGGGGCACTTGTAGTGAGCAGAAGTGATTCGGTGACTGACACACATGAATCCTCTCAATGATCGCCTGCGAATCAGACCCTGACACCAACTGTCTCATTATATATTAGGCAGTGAGCATTTAAGATAACTTTGAGACCTGATTCCTGTTAACCACCATGGTATTGTTCTTATCTCTGGGTGAAATTATTTCCCAGTCATGTAAGAGTGTGTGTGTTGAGTTGAGGAAGTCACTTAGACCAGAAGATGGTGGCATTGGAGAAGAAGTCACATGGACAGCAGCAGACGGTGGAGAAGTCACTTGGAGAGCAGCAGATGGGGGAGTTGGAGGAGAAGTTACTTGGAGATCAGCAGATGGTGGAGTTGGAGGAGAAGTCACTTGCAGAGCAGCAGATGGTGGAGTTGGAGGAGAAGTCACTTGCATAGCAGCAGAAGGTGGAGTTGGAGCAGAAGGCACTTGCAGAGCAGCAGATTGTGCAGTTGGAGAAGTCACTTGCAGAGCAACAGATGGTGCAGTTGGAGGAGAAGTCACTTGCGGAGAAGCAGATGGTGCAGTTGGAGAAGTCACTTGCAGAGCATTAGATGGTGCAGTTGGAGAAGAAGTCACTTGGGGAGAAGCAGATGCTGCAGTTGGATGAGAAGTCACTTGCAGAGCAGCAGATGGTGCAGTTGGATGAGAAGTCACTTGCAGAGCAGCAGATGGTGCAGTTGGATGAGAAGTCACTTGCAGAGCAGCAGATGGTGCAGTTGGATGAGAAGTCACTTAAAGAGCAGCAGATGGTGCAGTTGGATGAGAACTCACTTGCGGAGAAGCAGATGGTGCAGTTGGATGAGAAGTCACTTGCGGAGAAGCAGATGGTGCAGTTGGAGAAGAAGTCACTTGGGGAGAAGCAGATGGTGCAGTTGGAGAAGTCACTTGGGGAGAAGCAGATGGTGCAGTTGGAGAAGTCACTTACAGAGCAGCAGATGGTGCAGTTGGAGGAGAAGTCACTTGCAGAGCAACAGATGGTGCAGTTGGAGGAGAAGTCACTTGCGGAGAAGCAGATCGTGCAGTTGGAGAAGTCACTTGCGGAGCAGCAGATGGTGCAGTTAGAGAAGAAGTCACTTGCGGAGAAAGCAGATGGTGCAGTTGGAGAGTGACTTGCAGAGCAGCAGATGGTGCAGTTGGAGAAGAAGTCACTTGCGGAGCAGCAGATGGTGCAGTTGGAGGAGAAGTCACTTGCGGAGCAGCAGATGGTGCAGTTGGAGGAGAAGTCACTTGCGGAGAAGCAGATGGTGCAGTTGGAGAAGAAGTCACTTGGGGAGAAGCAGATGGTGCAGTTGGAGAAGAAGTCACTTGCGGAGCAGCAGATGGTGCAGTTGGAGGAGAAGTCACTTGCGGAGAAGCAGATGGTGCAGTTGGAGAAGAAGTCACTTGGGGAGAAGCAGATGGTGCAGTTGGAGAAGAAGTCACTTGCGGAGAAGCAGATGGTGCAGTTGGAGAAGTCACTTGCAGAGCAGCAGATGGTGCAGTTGGAGAAGAAGTCACTTGCGGAGCAGCAGATGGTGCAGTTGGAGGAGAAGTCACTTGCGGAGAAGCAGATGGTGCAGTTGGAGAAGAAGTCACTTGGGGAGAAGCAGATGGTGCAGTTGGAGAAGAAGTCACTTGGGGAGAAGCAGATGGTGCAGTTGGAGAAGAAGTCACTTGGGGAGAAGCTTATGGTGCAGTTGGAGAAGAGGTCACTTGGGGAGAAGCAGATGGTGCAGTTGGAGAAGAGGTCACTTGGGGAGAAGCAGATGGTGCAGTTGGAGAAGAAGTCACTTGGGGAGAAGCAGATGGTGCAGTTGGAGAAGAAGTCACTTGGGGAGAAGCAGATGGTGCAGTTGGAGAAGAAGTCACTTGCGGAGAAGCAGATGGTGCAGTTGGAGAAGTCACTTGCGGAGCAGCAGATGGTGCAGTTGGAGGAGAAGTCACTTGCGGAGAAGCAGATGGTGCAGTTGGAGAAGTGACTTGCAGAGCAGCAGATGGTGCAGTTGGAGAAGAAGTCACTTGCAGAGCAGCAGATGGTGCAGTTGGAGAAGAAGTCACTTGTGGAGAAGCAGATGGTGCAGTTGGAGAAGAAGTCACTTGTGGAGAAGCAGATGGTGCAGTTGGAGAAGAAGTCACTTGCAGAGCAACAGATGGTGCAGTTGGAGAAGAAGTCACTTGTGGAGAAGCAGATGGTGCAGTTGGAGAAGTCACTTGCAGAGCAGCAGATGGTGCAGTTGAAGGAGAAGTCATTTGCAGAGCAGCAGATGGTGAAATTGGAGAAGAAGTCACTTGCGGAGAAGCAGATGGTGCAGTTGGAGGAGATGTCACTTGGAGATCAGCAGATGGTGCAGTTGGAGAGGTCACTCGGAGAGCAGCAGATGGTGGATTTGGAGGAGTAGTTATTTGCAGAGCAGCAGATGATGGAGTTGGAGAAGTTACTTGGAGAGCAGCCAATGGTGGAGTTGGTGGAAAGGTCACTTGGAGATCAGCAGATGGTGGCGTTAGAGAGGTCACTCGGAGAGCAACAGATGGTGGATTTGGAGGAGTAGTCACTTGCAGAGCAGTAGATGATGGAGTTGGAGAGCAGCCAGTGGTGGACTTGGTGGAGATGTCACTTGCAGAGCAGCAGATGGTGGAGTAAGATCTCCTAATCAATAGTGGAAGAAACCACTTGGCCCACCATGTGAGAACACAAAGGTGTTTCTCTATCCTGGGGACACTGGGAAGTCATGTTCTTGTTTTTTGCCAAAGCAGCTGAGGTACTCTGGAGATGAGAAATTGAGGAAGCATTTCTCTGGCTCCTTTTGGAGTTGTGCCAAGCAAAAGTGAGTACATTATGACATTTTGCAAGTCTGCCTCAACAATAAAGCAATGTCTTATTGTGGCCTGTTGAGAGAACGGGGAACAAGTTATATATGACCTTTAATTTAATGTGCCGTTACTCAAAGCCTTTAAAAAACCTAGGATTTAACATCTAGAGCAAGCACCTATATCAGAGGGAGAAAACCAGATGTTTTATAGAAATTGAGTGTGATCTAGTAGGGAGCAAGGCACTGACCTTTTTTGTTTTTTTTAATCATGTCTGAAGTAACTACATACACTACATTCATTCTTAGATTGAAAATACACCGAATATTACTGTTACAGCTGCATGTTTGCTGTATTTGACATGTTACTATATTTGCCAGTTGACACTGAGAAATCTTTTTTTGGGGCTCAGTGCTCATGGAATGGCATGTACCAATCTAAACTTTCAGCTCAGTATTTTCTTGGAAAGTGTATATGATCTGTCTGCAATTCAACTTTTTACAGCTGTTGTATTTTATAACATTTTTAGTTTTGCAAGAAATCTCTAATGAACTCCAGCCAAGAGAAGCCAATTATTACGGTACCTGCGTATCTTCATCAAAAACATCTCTGTTGTAGTCTCATAGTCCACTATTTATTCACCCCCAAACAGATCCCACTGCCTCCATCTACAGTGTGTTCTGGTTCGTGCACCCAGGCCCTGCAGTTTTTTTTTCCCTATGGAGAAACTGTTCTCTGTTGCACTTCCTTCTCTGAGTAGTCTTCAGAAATAGAACAGTGACATGCTTACATCTTCCTTTCCTCTGTATGTGGGCGAGATCTGCACAGCACTTGGTAACGGCCTGTCCACAGCAATTCATTGGCCTACACATTGGTGGTAGAGTGAGGAAAGAGTCAGGATCCTGGGGTTCAGTTTTAAAGGACCACATGTTTTTAAATGGAGTCAATGTAAAGAACTGAATTTGTCTGGACATCGGCTTCCTGTAATCCCCTGCACAGCATTGCTTGAATTTGATGAGGCATGGGCCTACCTAATGGCCAATCGGGTCCTACTGTATGTGAGCTGTCAGGAAGAGACTGCATAATAGGAATGGTCTTGTCATTGTGCTGCCGGTGGTTGGTGTTGGCAGCCTGGCCCTGTTTCTGACCATACTGTGTTGTAGAGGGGGGGGGGGTGTTCAGGACCTGGCTGTGCTGTTTGTCGGGGCGTACGGATCACAGAGGTGGCTGCACAGAATCTTTTTGAACACACGTTCCATTATATTTTAACTGTGTATATACTGTAGCAGATTACCTGGCGTTCACAATTCAGTAGTATTTAGGCTTCATTTTTCTCACTTACCTGAGGACCTTCTTTATATTTTTTCTGTTTCTAGTTTCATAATGCTGCCATGTCATATGTCATAGAAATCTGGAACTCTGCATTTTAACAAATGCTTATTTGAGAGAAAAACATACATCGTTTTGATATCTTTTAAAAATGGCAGTGTATTTTCAGTTCTGAAAGATTTCAGAAATATGGCTCTGGATGTTAGAAAAGAGTCGCAGCCATGTGCGTTGGATCAAGGTAAGCATGCTTCTGAAGGGTGGCTAGAACGATTAGTGAACTTTGTTTTAAAATTAATTTATCCTTTTGAGAAGAAAAACCTATAAAGACCTGGATTTTGTAGATGATGAATGGGACTCCATTGTTTTTTCACTGCAGGGCAGTTTGGAAAAGTCCAGTTTGAGACGCGTCTCTATAAATGGCTGTCTGTAGCATCTTCATGTATTGAGACTTTTTGTAGGGAATACTGTTTTTTTTGTTTTTTTTTTTTTGTCTGCATAATGTTTGGTTTTGCTCCTGACTTGGTTAAGAATGTTTGCATTGATATTTCTGCAGGGTGAAGTATGTGACATGATAAATAAGAAATATGACGAGTTCCTTCCCAGCATGCAAAGTGCTGAAGATCTGGTGACACAAGTAAACAACCTGAATAAAGATGTAGACCTTCTGAAGTTACGGATAGAGAACGAGGCGAGTACAGCTATAGGGGCTTTGGTGTACACAGAGCTACCTGCAGACATTTTGCTTTTCTAAAATCATTGTCCAATTACAGATGCATTTCTTGTAAAAATCAAAATGTTTTTTGTAGGTTTACAAAAGCGCTGTAAATGTTCTGGAGAATGCGAAACATTTCATATAAAACATATTACTCATACTAAGGAATGTGCTGCTGGAGAATGGAGTAACCCAGTATGTGTAAGCATGAAGTCCGACTTGTCTGCTTGGCTGTAAAGTAGTTATAAAGGCTCAATTTTTTTTTCCTTCATGTATTCTATGCATAAAGGTAAAAAAAGAAACTTGTGTGCAGCAGCCCCCCTAATACTTACCTGAGCCCCATCGCGATCCAGCGGCGTGGACGAGAGCCTCAGTTGTCCTGGGTCTCTCCCTCCTCATTGGCTGAGACAGCAGTGGAAGCCATTGGTTCCTGCTACTGTCAATCACTACATTACATAACAGAGCCAAAGCTTTATGGTCACTTTTTTTTTTTTTTTTTGTGATCCAGACCTGTCCAGCTATAACAACTTAGTGGCCATACTAGAATCCTATTTTTTTTTTCTTCTTCAACATCTCTACAATCTTTTTGTTGTTTGGCATTGACATTGAGATTATGTGGTCATTTTAAAATGTATTTTATTACAGGTACTTATATAGCGCCGTCAATTTACGCAGCGCTTTACATATATATTATACAATCACATCAGTCCCTAACCCTCAAGGGGTGTACAATCTAAGGTCCCTAACTCAATTTATACATACACATACTAGGGCCAATTTAGACAGGAGCCAATTAGCCTACCAGCATGTCTTTGGGGTGTGGGAGGAAACCCACGCAGGCACAGTGAGTACATGCAAACTCCAGGCAGGTGGTTCCATGGTCGGGATTCGAACCAACGACCCGAGTACTGCCAGGCGGAAGTGCTAACCATTTAGTCACTGTGCTGCCCTTTAAATTAATGTTTAGCAGAATAACTGTCAGTATGAGTTGGCAAATGGCTTGCTGAGCAAGTTAGTAACTGCCGAGTATGCTTTCATAATTGTTTATTGGAAGAAGTTCATTGTCCTGTTTTATTGATGCTAATTTCTCTAACAACCAAGAATAAATCAATGTTCACTTGACATGAATTTTCTGATTTTCTTTTATGCATATGATGTCTACTGTGATCAGTAGTTTACATACTGACATCCGTGTGTTTGAATTTTAGTCATTTAATGCATATCTCCTTTATTTAGGTGCAAAATGACCTTAAAGTGGCAATTAGTGAGTTCACAGAGTTGAAGCAACAGCTGGAAAAGAACACAATTATCCTCGCAGTTCTGCAACAGCTTCAAGAGGTATCACTACAGAGAACCAATGTAATGCCTTTGAAGTATGAATGTATTTTTAACAGAGAGAAGAACCAGCATTTTTTGAAGGAGGTCAACAATGTCAGCTCTCATATTTCTCTTATGATGAAACCTTTGGATATACAGTGCATTTATAAAGTATTCAAACCCCCTTCACTTTTTTCAATTTTGTTATGTTGCAGACAGATGCTACAGTTGTTTAAATTACATTTTTTTTTCTCATTAATCTACACCCAGTACCCCATAAAGACAAAATGAAATAGAGTTTTAGAAATGTCTGTAAATTCATTAAAAATAAAAAAAGGAAATATCACATTGACATAAGTATTCAGACCCTTTACTTTGTTGACGTACCTTTTGGAGACTTTCTTCTGGCCACTTTACCATAAAGCCCAGATCAACGGAGGGCTGCAGTGATGGTTGTCCTTCTGGAACCTAGTCCCATCTTCACTCAGGATCTCTGGAGCTCAGTCAGATTGACCATTTGGTTCTTGGTCACCTCTTGGTCCCGGTTGTGCCAAACATCTTCCATTTGAGAATTATGGAGACCACTGTGCTCTTGGGAACCTTCAGTGCAGCAGAAACTTTTTTTTTTTTTTTTGTAGCCTTCCTCAGATCTGTGCTTTACAATAATCCTGTCTCTGAGCTCTAGGCAGTTCCTTTGACCTCATGGCATTTGCTCTGATACAGTATGCATTGTCAGCTGTGAGGCCTTTTGTAGAGAGGTGTCTCCCTTTCCAAATCATATCCAATCATTTTAATTTACCACAAGTGGACTCCAATCAAGGTGTAGAAATATCTCAGCAATGATCAAGAGAAATATGATGCACCCGGGCTAAATTTCAAGTGTTGTCACAAAGGTTCTGAATACTTGCCATTGTGATATTTACCTTTTTTTCTTTTTCATACATTTGCAAACATTTCTAAAATGTTGTTTTCGCTTTGTCTGGATACCTTATGAATGCACCAATGGACTTTGATATATATAATTTTTTATGTATTTTTTAGAGAGATCTCGTACTCTTATCATGTTTCTATAGCAGTGTGTATGTAATAATGCCTGTCTTGTAAAACTCTAATCATTACAATACTTGTTACTGCATCTTGAAAGACTGGGTGTTTCATTTTAACACACCCATCATTATTAAACTTCACCCCTGTCTGCTTCCCAGTTGGAAAGCAATAACTGAACACAGCTTAGTTTACAAATACAAGTGAACGTGAGTAGGCGATACAAGAGAAAACTTGGAGGAAAATCATCAATAATGGACATATGTGAAATTTGAATTTCTGTGTATCCATTAGTTGTAATAGCGTATCCTTATCTCTCAGAGATAGCTGTGTCCTGTCAATAAGCTGTATGCGTTTCCTCAGAGCAGAAGAATATTCTCAGTGCAGGCTTGTATTTCAGGTGAGTATCTTACAGAATAGGAATGTACCTTCATAAATAAAAATGGTCCTCGAAGTTACATGCCAAGAACAGAAGGTCTATCATAAATCAAACAAAGCTTCGTGTGACATCCACAGATGCTAGTTGCTTGATTTACATTGAACCTTCTGTTCTTCACTTGTGACTTTGTGGACCATTTTTCAGTGTGTCCACAGACAGAAATTGCCTTTTGAATAAAGACCTTTTGCATTTTAATTTTCAGTGTGCTGCCCACTGTTTGCTATAAGGAAAAACACACACACAAAACGCATAGACAAGAACTACACCTTAAAAAAAAGAAGCGATCCATATTCTATCTAGTTATTCGCTTTGCTACTCCAATGCTTACTTCCCTTCTTAGACCATCTTTGGGGTGTCACATTTTTATATTTTATTATTATTATTATTATTATTATACAGGACTTATATAGCGCTGACAGTTTGCTCAGCGCATTACATTATGGAGGTAGAGAGTACAGTAACAATACAATACAAGAGGGATCAGAGGGCCCTGCTCCTTGGAGCTTACAATCTAGGAGGGAAGGGATAGTGTTACAAAAGGTAATAACTGTGGGGGATGGAGTGGTTGGAAGAGTAGAGGATTCCAGTATTAGCTGGGGTTGGGGTAGACTTCCCTGAAGAGATGGGTTTTCCAAGTGCGCCTAAAGTGAGCAGAGTAGGCGATAGTCTGATTGGGGTAGGGAGTTCCAGAGGATGGGAGAAGCTCTGGAGAAATCCTGGAGACGAGCATGGAAGGAGGAGAAAAGAGAGATAGAGAGCAGAAGGTCTTGCGAGGAGCGGAGAGTACGGTTTGGGTGGTATTTAGAGACGAGATCGGTGATGTCATTTGGGGCAGTGTTATGAACGGCTTTATATGTTATTGTTAGTGTATATTTAACTTTTGCTTCCACTTCAATAAAGGCAAAACATTTTTTTTATTTTTGAATAGAGTGGAGATGGATTAGAACAGCTGCATTGCGGTCTGTGCCCCTCTTATGGAGATTCACCCTCTCTATTTGTCATGGTACCATTATCATTGAAAGTGAAAGTAAAATAAAAATCCCACATCTTGGGTTGTCCCCAAAAAAGCAATAGGGGGGAAATCTTTCAATGGGTACACTAGTTCTGGTGACCTAGGAATTCCCCTAATTTGCAGGGATTTCCTCTCACTTCCTTTTTGGCTATGGGACAGGAAGTGAATGGAAATCTCTACTATGAGACACAGGTAGTAAAAAAAAAAAAAAATTGACGGGCTATAACCCTACCTTACTCTAGCCAAAAAAAAAATTTGCCTCTAGTTCTGCTTTAAGCTCTCATGGACAAAAAGTGTTTGAGCAGGTTGATGACAGGTGGCATGTCACTTTCTGGCTGTGTTACCAGAATATTTTCTGCATTTGCCGTGGGTGCCCTACTGACTCATTTTTTATTATTATTTTATATTTGTTATATAATTTTTATATTGTTTAATCAAATTTTATGTTTGTTAAATAGCTCTGAAGAAGGGGGAGTCTCTGTTCCTCTGAAACATGTTTGCTTGTCAAACTTGTTGCAGTTTCCAATAAAGGCCTTCAAACTTGCCTTCCAACTTGTATTTACTGAATACCGGACGCTCTTTTCTACCTACTTTTCTTAGTATAGATGTGGAAATGACCATATGGCCATACCCAGAGGCAGCAGCCCTAAAAAGGGCTAACCATCACCCTTTTCCAAGTTGGGCACAAAGGATTGAAAATGAAACATTCTCGCTCACCCACCCCAGTCACCCACCCACGACCAGTGACTGTTCAAGTCAGTCCAGCAAGGTCTCCAATCCTAACAAGCTAGTGACTCCTTGGGATCAGTTTTCCCTTATATATGCCTTCCTTCCACTGCAGCTTCTCCAGCACCCCTTACACAGGGTAAAGGTTAAGGGCATTCTGGTGTTTCTAATTGCACCAGCTTGACCAAGAAAAACTTGGTGTGCAGATATTGTATGTCTCTTGTCTCTTTGAGATTAACCAAAGTTGCTTTTGCATGGTCCCATCTTCTTTCTTCTTTATGGTTGCAGTCTCTGATAACATGGCTGTTGAAGCCCAAGTCCTAAGGGATAGAGGATTTTCTGATTCTGCAATCCCTACCCTTAACTCCAGAAAGTTGACATCCAGGCAAGTATACCATTGTACATGGAAGGTTTATTTCACCTGGTGTGAAGCTCATAAGTTTCATCCCTGACAATATGTCACAAGACTTTTGACTTTTCTCCACTCTGATGGTACCCAAAGCCAGAGATTTCTCCACACCAAAGGACAAATGTTGGCCTTCTGTGTGCTCTCTTTCAGAGACCTATTTAATCTCATTCTTTGGTTATAGCCTTTGTGCAGGATTTCACAAGGATTGTTCATCTGTGAGGCCTCTCTTGTCTCTGTGGGACCTTAACTTAGTTATGTCTGTTTTGCAGTTGTCTTCTTTTAAACGTCTCCGAGATTCTGCTTTTGCTCCTTATCTGTAAGGTTGTCTTTTTTGGTGGGCATTACTTCAGCTCGCAGAGTATTGGAGTTGGCTGTACTTTTTTGGAAGGAACCTTTCCTGGCTCCTCAATAGGAAAATGTCTCATTCCTCCTTTTCTAGCTAAGGTGGTTTCTTCATTCCACCTAAATCAGGACATTGTGTTCTCATCCTTTTGTCCTAATCCTATGCATCCTAAAAAGAAGACACTTCACTCTTTGGATGCAATTCGGGCTGTTTGAGCTTATGTGAAGACTACAGCTTTGTTTTGACAATCTTCCCCATTTGTTCTGCCTGAGGGCCCTCACAAGGGACAGGCTGCTTCTTGATTGAATATTTCTGGGTGGATTTGTCAGTTCATTTCTTAGACCTATGGGTATCAGGGGCAAGGATCCTCCTTTCCCAGTCAAGGCTCATTCCATCAGGAGTGTCGGTGCTTCCTGGCTTAATCAACATTAGGATTCTGTTGCTTAAATTTTTAACGCTGCTATTTGGTCTTCTCTTCACGTTTGCTAAGTTCTACCAGATAGGTGTTTTCTGTCTCTGTGGATGGCACATTGGGACAAAGGTCTTGCAGGATTTTGGGCATGTTGGCTTAGTTTCTTCTTCCCCCCCATCATGCTCAATGTTTTGAGATATTCCAGGTAGTCATCAGTATGAATGTATGATTAGGAAATTAGGATTTTTGGTTTACTGTAATATAATTTTCTTGGCGTACATCAGAGGACACAGATCTCTCCCCTCTTGCAGTGTTCCTCATTGCTTGCTAGAAAACTCAAGCAACATCACGCAAGTAGTCATAAATATGAACTCCAGTGTCCTGTGATGTACAAGTAAATCAAAGAATCCTAAGAAAAAATTCAAGAGGCTTGCTATTGGGGGGCACTTGGCAGGTGAGAGGAGCCAGGACCCAAAAAGAAGAGGACCAGGGCTGCTTTGTACAAAACCATTGCACAGAGCAGGTAAGTGTAACATGTTTGTTATTTTTTTTTATTAAAAAAAAAAAAAATGCAGCCTTTAGAATCTCTTCAAAAGTGTGCATGCTCAGTCTTTTCATTTATTTTCTGTTTGTTTCTCCTTCCATCTGTCAATAGCAGGTGAGCGGCACAGGCCCCATACATATCTAGCCTGTCAGCACGCAGTGACTGGATGCAACAGTATAGTCCTTAGGGGGAAGCGTGCATGTAGTGGTGACTCCATATGCACTGCATTGGTAATAGGAGCCACCACACAAATGTAAGTGTTCTAGAGAATATAAATCAAAGAATCCTGCGCACAATTAGGGGGAAAAGCAAATATGAATTGTAAAGTTGATAGTCTGGGCAGAGGTGCACTTTAAAGCTATCATGTGTAGCTAATTTGGCTCGTTTTTTTTTTTCTTTTTTTTTTTGCAGTTTAATAGTGCTATTGAGAAGTACAACCTGACATTGTCTGAGAGGAACTACATTAGTGCAGCCAGACATCTGGAAAAGGTATTGATCTTAAAATCTTGACTACACATTCATTCCCAGTGACAACTGAATCAGCCAGTGATCTGCCAGTGTTCTAGAAGTAAACCTTGCTAAAGTTTCATAATTTTTAAATATCTTGTGTAGCCAGATGTAGCTGGAATGTCACAAATCTGGTTGGCAACACATAGCAGCCCCTTGTACTGCAATGATCTCAGGCTCCATTGTTCAAGGCTGAGGATCCTTTTACATAGATGTGCATGCTGTTATGTATTTTTGACATATGTTCCTGCTCATGTTTTATGCAAAGGTGGGAAAAACTGCAGAGATGTAATGGTGCAGGTTGACCTAAAACACACAAGCAATTCATGTGGTTTTGTGCCTGTTTAAAAAAAGAAACCGCTATGGCGCAACACATACTATGTACTAGCCACTTAACAATAATTCTGTTTGAATTCTGTTTAAAAAGCATTTTCAGGCAGTAAGTCTCCTTTCACATGAACGTTCTGATCGGTTCCACCTGTCCGTTTTTCAGGTGGTCCTGATCGGAACCACCATTCTCTAGAGAAGTGGGTGTAAACAGACGTGAAAAAAAACCCCCACTGACATCTGATCTGATCTGCTAAAAACAGACTGATGGAGATCTGTTCCCCTTCCATCCAGTGGATTGGATGACAATCGAGTGTAAATGGACAGGCAATCCCTTTACATCCAACCACTCATAGAGGAGAGCAGGCTATGTGCATGTCCGCTTTGCAATACGTGGAGTGGACACAGACCTGTCATTCGCCTCCTCATTGAACAGATCCCCTGCTGAGCAAGCGGATCGCAGCTTGTGTCCGACCCGTGTGAAAGGGGCCTAAAATGGACAAAGGTGGACAGGGTTCATAGACAGATGTGGCTCACTGATTTTGTTGCTTCCAGGGCCATGTTGAAGATCCTCATAGCCTTGGTTATTATGAATCTGCTCAACAATTGCTTTCCATAGTATTATAATGCAGTAGTTGACTAAATAGTGAGCTGGTCTTTGAAAATGAATAACAAAAGCATTGATCAAAAGAAAAATGTTTTCAGTTTGATAGAGATCAGTTTTCTTCTGCGCATCGCATACTAGCACATTATAAAAGATTTCCCTTGAAATGAAGCCCTCTCACGGTGCGCGTCACTGCTGACAGGGCTCCCATCTTCTCCCGGTCTTCCTTCTGGGTTTCTGGACTGCGGCCGCTTAAATGGCTAAGCCACGATGACGCCACTCCTGGCAGTCTTGACCACGCACACAGCTCTGAAGAAAAGGTACGGGTATGCCGTTCCTTAAGAGCGCATGCATCGGTGAACCTGGTGAGCACATGCATCGGCTGCATCGGCTGCGCAGAGACTGATTATCTCCTAAATAATGCACGTTTAGGAGATATTCCTTGTAACTACAGGTAAGCTTTATTATAAGCTTACCTGCAGGTTCAAGTGTCCAATGGGAGTTCACTGCCACGTTAAGTCCAACGAGGTGCATGCCACCTTGTCAACTTATCCTTTTAATTTACAGTTTTTACAGTTCCAGAAGCATAAACATTGCTATGCTTGCCGATGCTGGACTCTCTGGCCTCCTTAGGCTGTAGTCACATGCAGCTGCTGTGCCCATCCTTCTCTCCTACTATGCAATCACAAAAGACTTGCATTAAGTAAACTTATTCACAGAATACAAAGTCTTCTATGGATGAGCAGGGGGGAGGGGCAGGGCAGACAGATGCTGTGTGTGAAAAGGCAACATCTCTCCTGTCAGTATGCCTGACGTGTAATGATAGCTGGAGTTCTGTAAAATTGTCAGATGAAAATTAAAGAGAAAAGTCCATGAGATGGCATGCACCACGTTGGACTTCACTAATATTTTATACTGAAAGTTAATAGGTAGGCGCTGTGCAATAAATTGTTATAAATTCAAAAATGGGGCAAGCAATCCCATCATTTCCATGTGCCTGAATAATGTAATGACCTGTAACCAGTGTTGATCAATAAAATCCATAGATATAATGTGTAATAAAAGATAATATTCCTATATAGAACATTATATTATAAAAACGAAAATATAGATGACATAAACGTATTGTAAATCATAAAAGTCCATGTGCATTAACCACGTGCCAAACACAAATTGATTGTGATATCAATCAAGGATTAGAACAGTCCTTTAGGACATAATGTTGATGACAGAAATCCATGTATTCACACCCCGGTGAAAATAAGTGAATGTCACTCACCAGACATGTATGATCATGGTTAAGGTGGTCAAATAGCGCGTTTTGGTGGTATAAGCTGGAACATCCACCTCTAATTATCCCATGTTGGTCCTCCCAGTCAACAATACTCTCCAAAAAAAGGGGTGCCTTGTAGCAGGTTTTCCTTGTATTGTAGTGCCAAGCCACTCAAAGAATCCAAGAGAGATTTGTGCAACCGAAGTATTTATTTATAAAAGAACATGTTTAAAAGAATGCTGTGCACTCACATGTAAAGGTGCCTATTCCACCGGGACCAGTATGTACAGCATGTGAAGTCTAAGATGGCTGACATGCATTCCAAGCCTCGCTTTCGCTGGGGCCGGACATTACCAAATCGATGTACGTTTCGCCTGGCTGCGTCTTCAGGAAGTCACTTCGACTTTGAAGCATGATTCCGTCACTTCTGGGTTCCAGTGGACATAACATCTGGCGCCAGCGAGAGCGAGGCTTGGAATGCATGTTGGCCATCTTAGACTTCACAGGCTATACATACATTCTTTTATAAATAAATAATGCACTTAGATTGCACAAATCTCTCTTGGTTTCTTTGAGTGGCTTGGCACTACAATACAAGGAGAACGTGCTACAAGACACCCCCCTTTTTTTTGGAGAGTCCATTGGCAATCCTTCCTTGGGCCATTACTTGCGGAGTATTGTTGACTGGGAGGACCAACCTGAGATAATTAGAGGTGGATGTTCCAGCTTATACCACCAAAACACGCTATTTGACCATCTTAACCATGGTCCTATAGGTCTGCTGAGTGAGACATTCACGTATTTTCACCAGGTTGTGAATACATGGATTTCTGTCGTCAACATTAAGTCCCAAAGGACTGTTTTTTAATCCTTGATTGATATCACCATCAATTTGTGTTTGGCACGTGGTGAAGGCACATGGACTTTTATGATTTACAATACGTTTATATCATCTATATTTTCGTTTTTATAATATGTTCTATATAGGAATATTATCTGTTATTACACATTATATCTGCAGATTTTAAGGATCAACACTGGATACAGGTCATTACATTACTTAGGCACATGGAAATGATGGGATTGCTTGTCTCATTTTTGAATTTATAACAATTTATTGCACAGCGCCTACCTATTCATTAATCTTTCACGCTCAGGTGTACAATTTCACTTTTTAGGGGCAGCTGTTGTTTCACATTATTATTATTATTATTATTATTATACAGTATTTATAAAGCGCCAACTGTTCGCTCAGCACATTGGTGTTAATAAATGGTTATACCACTATTCATTTCAACACTTCACTGGGCTCCACAATCACTTAATTTGAATTTTTGTTAACTTTCAGTATGCTTGCACACTGTAGAAAGTGACTGAATTCCTGGAGTTCAGCTTTAATATACCACAGAATATGACGTTCACTTAAATGTAAAGCTACTCCAATGCAGCAATAAATGCAAGTAAAAATTGCTCCTCAAGATGTAGTTCAGAATTCACATTCATAATCAAGTCAGAGACAGAACATAAGTACCGGTCTACACACCTATTTGTTATTAATAAATACGTACTTGCATATGGTGCCTATTAGGTTTAAGTATAGTAGTAAGTTCAGTTTTGTTGCCCATTGGAATAGACCAGGATTCTGTAGTGATCAGTATTGGTGTTCTCTGTAGGCACAGAGTTGTCTGAAGATCCTGAAGTCTCGAAAGGGCTTTGAGCTGCAGGTGTTGAAATCTCTGGGAATAGAGCTGACCGTACAGAAGCAGAATATGTTGTACCACCTTGGAGAGGAATGGCAGAAACTGGCGGTATGGAAACTTCCGCCGTCCAAAGGTAACGGGGTTCATGTAGGCCATTGCTTATACATTTCAATAGAGATGTGAGTGTAGTGGTCAGCGAAATGTAGATTGGCTCTTGAATTTCTTAATTTTGTCACTCACAGATCTGCTTTTTATCTTGTACGGCCACAGCACAGCTCACTCAATGGACAGCATGCCGTCCATTGACAGCGCAGTGCACATGCACCAGTGATGTCCCCAGCTGCTACACATAGTTCTTTTCTAGGCTTACCTGTAGGTACAGTGAATATCTTCTAAACTTGCTCTGTTTAGGATATATTTACATGTGTAGCTGCTGGTGACGTCACTGGCGCATGCGCACTGCACTCTCAATGGACCGAATGCTGTCCATTGAGTGAGCTGTGCTGTGGCCATAACTCCTGCACGCATAAGTAAGAGTGACGTCATTGCAGATCAGCCATTCAAATGGCCGGAACCTACAAAATGGGAAGGAAGACCAGGTTAAGATTGAATCCCTGTCAGCTGTGACAGTGCGCTGCTGGAGAGATATGTTTCTTAGGCAAGTTTGTCATGAGCCTACGGGGAAAACAGTTTTTTTTTTTTTTTTTAACTGTTTACTACCACTTTTTTTAAATATTTTTTTTTTATGTTGCATTCTCAAACTATAGGTAAATACAGTACCTTTCATACAGCTGAATTTGGAAGCATGTGTGAACAGAAACTACCCTTGCTGTCACGCTGATATATTGACCTCCGTTTTCTTATTCTCCAACAGGAAAAGTAAATTCTAGATATGAGGAGTTCTGACATTGTCTGTCTTTAAACCTGTATGCTTGTTCTCAGTGACTGGATTGAATTTGGGCACAGGCTGTGTTTTCAGGAGAGAAGCATTGGAAGTCCCGGTGTTTTTTTTGTACAGGTTTCCATTAAAGAACCACATAGCCTTTGTAATATACAGTATTTTGCACATTTTCTTTACTGTATCGAAAAACAGATCATAGGTTTTGTATATTAATATTTTAAAGAGGGGACACTTTAAGGGATTAGCATATATGCCAGCACCCCATCCAGAGTGGGACAGCAGAGCTATAACTTTGATGCTTGGAGCGGAGCTCCATCAACCATACACAGGGTTGCAGGGGGACACTTTAAAACAAACTTCATATTTTTAATTTTATTATGAAGGTTTTAGGATGAGGCAGATATTTTATTGCACAGTTTATGCCTTTTGAAGTGTCCTATCTGGTCAATCAGTACTTTATATCAAGACCATCAAAATTCCACAGACAGGGAGGATAAGGCATATTCTTTGACACAGAAATGAGGGATTGTATTGCCTTTTATATGCTCCCCCTTCTGGCACGTCCAAAGACACGCAGATGATCTCTGTAGCATTGCAGAGGCTCTGTGAGTCAAATCAAATAATGTACTGTACTAACTTATAGTTGAAGGAAGCGAATACTAAACTTTGCCTCTTTTTTTTTTTAATAATTCTGCTCCTTCTTTTCCAGATTATTCAAGTCTGGATATGATCTTGAAGACTGAACTGCAATTATGTGCTTTGCATTCAGCTGATGAGTCACCTTCTGGACCAATATTAGGTTCTGTCCTTCAGGCTTTGGCCATCCTGGGAGAGCTAAACACCAAGCTCAAGTTCTTCAGTAAGACCAGATTTCTTTCACTAAGACCATTCTATTCTGCAGAATGTTTTTTGTAATTGTATTCCTTTTCTGCTGCAGGCCAGTTACTGCTGAATTATATCCTTAAGCCTTTGGTGAAATATCCATCCCTTCACGTTCTGGTGGAGTCTCAACCTCAGGGAGTAATACTTCGTTTTGAAAGCACTAAGACAGGGTTGGAACATCCAACTCCACCTCATGTGTTCATGAAGCTGAAGCTGGTCCTGGAGCTACTACACAAGCACTTACTGGGTATGGCACGGCTCTAGCAGTTGGTGTAATGGGAGTGGTAAACCTGTCCTATTAAGGGGTTTGCTCCATGCAGGCTGAGTGTATTTATATGTGGGTCATTAGGTTTTATGATTTGCTTCTTGAAGGTCCTACTACAGACTAAGTCCTGAGATCTCCAACCTATGTTCTTGTACTGTATATATGCCCTCTTCATTGAAGTTAATTGCATCAGAATGTGGAAGATCATGAATACCGAGGCATGTGCAGTACAAATTGCTACTGCATTTCCTCAGTTTATATGGGGATCCCTCCTAATAATTATTGCTATTTCCAGACAATTTGTGGTAGTCCATATGCTACATTATCCTGTGCAATAGATCTTATTCTCTGTTTGCTATGCTTATTGAGTTGTCTTCAGTCTATTCAACAGTGGAGTAGTAACTCCTTGGAATGGATTTTTTCTGTGCATTGTCTCCTCCAGATGTCCCAGTAGAAGGTCAGAATGTCCAGGAGGCTGATAAAGTGGTTCTAGCAGAGGTTCTTGGTGATCTGATCTGGGAAGAGATTTCTGAGGCCATCATTAAAGACTGTCTGGTATACTCCATTCCTACCAACAGCAAGAAACTTGAGCAGTATGAGGAGGTACACGTGTTATATTATGCTAGTTAATTTCTTTGTCCGCTGAAGGCTTTCATTTTGTATTTATTGATTTTTTTTTATTTATTTAAAATTCAGGTTATAAAGGCTACGGAAGAATTTGAAAATGCTCTCAAAGGTATGAGATATCTGAAGGGTGATGCAACAGAGCTGCTGAAATATGCTCGAAATGTCAATGCTCACTTTGCCAGCAAGAAATGCCAAGATGTCATTGTGACCGCAAGGAACCTCATGACCTCTGAAATACACAACACAGTGAAGGTGCGACATGTACACTTCTTATATTAATACTCTGTTTTCAATAGCTTTAAAGTAAACCTAAGCTTAAAGGCTCAGCAAAATGGCACAAAAATTGAGCTGCAGGTAAACCTCAAAATATTCAGTTGAAATAGAAGTATGAAAGCTGATTGGATTCTTGTATCTATTCATCCTGTTCTGAAATTTAGACAGTCCTTCCACATGGCAGTGCCAAACTGGGGCCCTGTCTTTTCTGTTCTCAGTTAAAAAATACATCCTGGTCACCTCTCTTCCTAAACCTGCAAATTTGGAAAGGTAGGTAGAAAGGAGCACTCGATATCCAGTAAATGCCAGTTGGAAAGTGAGTTTGAAATAATTTTTTGAGAGTGGCAACAATATCAATCCAACTCATTTTTTGGGAGCAGAGACTCCCCCTTCTTCAGGGCTGTTGCTGCATGCTAGTAAATGGGGAGGACCCCAGACAGGTGTGTCTGTAAGGAAAAGATCAGCTGATCTCTGGCTTTTCTTACAGAGGCAGTGTACATGTTGGCTTGACATACCTTTTGCTACTCAAATGATTTCAAACACACCTTCCAACTTGCATGTACTGGATATCGGGCGCTCCTTTCTACCGACCTTACCAGTTTCACGTCCAGAGACCTTTAGGCCATTTTCTAGAGGCAGCAGCCAGGGCCTGTTATCACCCACCCACAACCCATGACTTAGCTAGTCAGTCCAACGTGATCTCCAACCCCAAGCAGCTAACCCTGTGAACGGACAGTAGGAGCAACAGTAAACTGATCAGCTAATCTCTCTGCTCACTCAGCTCTTTCCTCTTGTCAGCATATTCTTTAGTCATCACAACTACTATTCCTTTCCCAGATTTATGTCTGGGTTGCAACAATGACATCAGATGCTGTAGATGACATTTGTGTTTAGCTGCATGAGTGTTTAATGCTCACATTTTACAATCAAAAAGCTTTGAAAATGTTGCCATGGTCCATGTTCCAAGTTTTTTGTCCTCCCAACCCAACTCTATCTTATCTAAATGTTCTGCTAACAATTTAAGCCAACCAATTTTTTTTCCTTCATCACAGTCTAGCATTGACAGGAGTATAAGGCTCCACAGTAAGACACTAACATTCATTTTGAGCTTTACCATTTCTCTGATACATAAAAAACACACCTGCTTGGGGCCACTGTATATCTTTGAAATGGGTAGTTTTTCCACGTTTGTGGATCCTGCCTCAAGCAGATCTCCTTGTTCAGACTTTATAGGAGTTCTTCCTTCAGCAGAGAAAAAGTAGTTTTGGTCTCTGTGCTTGACAATGCCGAGTCTTAATCTAGCTTGCATTGTTTCCATTAGACAAAAGGGTTGATTTACTGAAACTGAAGAGTGCAAAATCTGGTGCAGCTCTGCATAGAAACCAATCAGCTTCCAGGCTGAAGTTAGAAGCTGATTGGTGTAGGTGTGGATGGTAGCCAGATTTTGCACTCTCCAGTTTTAGTAAAGCAACCCCATTGCCTTGGGAACTGGTTCATCTCAGCCGGCAGTCTCTGGACTGAGTGGAGAGGTTCTCGCACTTGAGTGCGCCCCTGATTCTTTGTTACAGGCAGAGATCTTTGCTAGACTTTGATGCAGGAATCCTCTGCCAGAGACAGAGCATTGTTGTTGGCTTCAGTCAACTTAGGGTCAGGATCCGCATCCTCTTGAAGAGGGTTCTTTAGGTGATTTCTGTTGTTTTGTCCCTAATCAGGGGAACACTTTTAGCTGTTCTGCTAATATTCCTGTCCATTTCTTTACTGCATCTAATGCTCTGCTGGACTGGTAGATCAGTAGTTTTTTCCTAGACCTTTTTCTTATGTCCATTGTTAGGCAGGGCAATTCTTCATCATGAGCAAGGGCACTTCCCATGCAACCTATCTCTTAAGTCACATTGACTTTGTGGAATCAAAGCTCTGAACTCTCTGGGGGTCTCAGAAGTTACTTTACACTCCTTGTGTGCTGTGGTGCGCTGTCAGGCCAGACAACCCCATTTTAGACATGGATTTCTCATCCCCTTGATTTTAGAAGGTCAGGGATGCAAGGCTTTGGTCCCTTGCATACACATCATGTTGTGGGTCTTCTGTTCTAGCTATGGTTTTCAATTTTTAGTTGAGTTTTTAGTTGATCACCTTCATTGGTTCACTTTCAGTGCTCTTTTCCATGAGGAGTCATTCTTGTGTGGGTTGATTCTCTGTGTTCTAGCTCTGGCCATGTCTGATGGTTTCTCTGTGGGGCTAAAATTCATCCTGTTCAGGTTTTGGGTCTGTGTCCTTCAAGGGCCTTTTTAGGCTGCAGACAGTCCTCGGTTCTCTTTGTAAGGCCTGTTTTTTTTTCTTTGCAATTGCAGGGCCCTCTTATTGAGTGGTAATATAACCCAACTGTATCTGAATTTCAGTGCCTCCTCGTCAACTCAAGAAAAGGATTTACAAGAATCCTAATATATCTAAATATATCAGTTCAAAGCCTTATCTTTCTTGAAAACTATTATGTATAAGGGTAGACTACATACATTAAATGGTATTAAGAGGTGCAGAAAATAGCTTTAGAGACTTTTTTTTTTTTCCTCAGAATAAAATAAATGGTTTTCAGTGGAGACGTTCAGGTTTTGAATTTTTCATCTAGTGCTGTTTTGTTTTTCCAATCTTAGATTACGCCTGATTCTAAAGTAACACTGCCAAAACTCCAAAGCCCTGGTGGAGAGAAGGTGAAGATGCAGAAGAGTCCTTCACATGAACTGTCAGGTCTAGAAAATGAGTCCAAGCTCAGCCAACATACCTTCTCTTTGCCTACCTGCAGGATCAGTGAGTCTGTTCAGAAACTGATGCAGCTCGCTTACCAGACCCTCTCTGAGGCCACTGCCAGCAATCCACCTTGGTAAGGAGGCAAAATACGCGTGCTAACATGATGGTCTCAACTTGCAAACAGTTATTAACCCCTTGACGCCGAGCGTACTCAAATAGGCGACCTCTCGGCGGCTGGGCCTTGACGCCGAGCGGCCGCGTATTTGCGTACCATTTGAAAACACATATGTGCTGAGAGCACACGCCCTGAGTGCTCCCAGCACATATGTGGGTGTCTCACAGAAAGGTTCCAATCTCCCCTTGCAATCGGGACTTTTTCAGATCATGTGACTGCCGTGACAGCGAATCACGGCGGTCACAGGACCCTAAAACTTCATCCCATTTTTAAGCTTGTCCATGATTTATAAATATATGCAATTTTACACAAAATGTACCTAGTGAACTAGACGGTGAAATTGGCTCTGGCTAAAGTCATAGAAATAGACCTTTCATTTACTTGTATATTCTTTCAAGTGTCATTAGTTTTTCAAAATGGCCAAACCTAATAAAAAAAGGTTTGTCTAGAGTTAAAGTGGTTTAGTCAAAAGCTAACTAAGCTAAACCTAATCCCACCCCATTCTAAGACTGTTCTATCTAACCCTGTTCAGGGAAATATCTGAATACTTGCCTATTCCGAAGCCGCTTCGGTCCAATGACATGATCTCTCCAGCCTCCAGCAGCGACTTCTGTGTAGAGGAGAGATCACTGACAATGGCTGCAAATGCCTGGGAGATTGTCACCCATAGGCTTGCTATGGGGCATCCATTGTTGGCTGTCCCCCCTTTACATTAAAACTTCTGCTGACAACTTATGGGACCGGACCAGAGCATTCTCAGAATAGGTAAGTATACAAATCTTTTCTTTACAGGTTTACATAGAATAGGGTTATAATGGGGGTGAGAATACGTTTTTAGTCTTAGTTGGCTTTTGAATAAAGAAAAAATTAATAAAACCTTTTTTATTTAGTTTTGGATAGAGCGGTGAGAGATTAGAACACCTGTCAGTTGTTGTTGCTATCTGTGCCCCTGTTAAGGAGATTCATCCTCTGTGTCCTGTTTACCATAATCTGTGAAAGTAAATGAAAATCACAAATTTTGGGTTGTCCCCAGAAAAAGTAAAAGAGGGGAAATTTTTCCAATGGGGACACTAGTACTGGTGCCCTGGGGGTCCCCAAGGAATTCCCTTAATTTGCAGGAATTTCCTCTTGCTTCCTGTTTGGTCATGGAACAGGAAGTGAAGGGCAATCTCCGCAATGGGACACAAATGGGAAGGGGAGGGGGGAATCTGACAGGGGTTATAACCCTTCCTTACTCTATCCAAAATGGGGAAAATAAAAGGTTTTGCCTATTGTTCTTTAAACTTTGACCTTGATTATCCGTCTGAACATTTGAATAGGCAATTTTTATTGTATGAATTTAATAGGTTGGGATAAATATTGAATCGAGTCTAGTAGCAGCAAAGGGTTTGCTCAGCGCTGTACAATAGGGGGACAATACTTTTCACAGATATTTCAAAAATGGTCAGCATTGAGGATGAGCGAATATACATCTTTCAAGCTTTCTAGGAATATAGCATAGTTTTTTTTTACTTTTCACTGAACAACCAGCAAATCTTCCAGGGGCCAAGGGTGGGAGGACACTTCTGCAGTCATTCTCGTTTCTGAGATGGGGTAGGCTTGCAAGAAGAGATGGGTTTTGAGGGAGCTGAATTGAAAGGAAGGCGACAGTCATGAAACAAACATTGGGATGCAGTGAGTTCCAGAGGATGGGGAGGACCTGGAGAAGTCTTGCAGTCCCTGCATGGAGGAGGAGTACTTTCAGTATTAGGATAGTAGGAGTTCATGTGCAGGAGCGAAGGACGGGTAGGGTAATACCCCATCAGGTTTGAGGTAGTCAGGGGCATGTGTCCTTTTAAATCGGACTTTGTTTTGGTCAGCTCATTAGAAGTTTAAATATTAATACTTTGATGTTTGTTTTTTACAAATCGATAGCCAGTGGATGTTTTTAGGCAGAGGGGGGTGGCAGAGGTGGAGCGGGTGGTGAGGTGGATCACCTGGCCGCTTTCCAGCTCCATCCAGGATGGTCTGGAGCACTGTCCTGCAACATTTTTCATCTGAGAAGAGAGTTGCAGTAGTCCCAAGGCGTGAGATGAGGGAGTGTACAAGAATCCTCATGGTGTCTGGGGTGAGGTGTTTGGCACGAACTTGGCAATATTGCGGAGATGACCCGAGCCTGCATGCGTTTTAAGTGATTTGACATGAGGCAGGAAGGAGATTTTCGAGTCGAGAATTTCCCAAGGACTTGGCTTGCGGGTGGGAATGAGAGTGGTGATGGTGGTGGAAAGATGGATAGGTTGGGATAAATATTGAAAAAAAAAAGCAGAAACCATCCTTGCAGCCAGCCAATGGTCTTTTTATTACTTTTCTTAAGATTTTTCTAAGATGGTCAGTCATTGATGATGAGCGAATATGTCATTTTCATTTTAATAAAAAAAATTGGAATATAGCATGTTTTTTTTTACTTTTCACTTCGACAAGCAGCAAATCCTCCATTTGGCCAAGGGTGCCCACACTTCTGCAGTCATTCTCGTTTCTGAGATATCTTGCAAGAATATCTATATCTGTTAAAGGAAATCTGTCATGAAAAGCAAACATAGGCGATGCCACGGCTGCTTTCCTTCTGAACATGTTAGTTGGCTCTTATGCAGTCCCTGTTGGCTTCAGTACTTTCTGTAAGAAAAGTATGGAGTTCATGTGCAGAAACCAGGACTAGTAATCCCCAATTTATCTCCTCATTGTGTCCTTTTAAATCTGACCTTCCTCGTTTTGAAAGCAGCAGCTCATATGACCATGACAACCATATTAATACTTTGGATAAATCTTGTACTTTCTTGCTTTTTTACCTAATGATACCTGTGCATGTTTTTATGCTTGTGTTTAGTAGTTGTAATTTATTTTCTCCATCACCTTCCCTTCTTTCCAGCTCCATCCAGCTATAAAAAATCTACTACGTCTTCAATCTACACTGTCAGAAACATTTTTCATCTGTTCTATGATGTTGTCCCAACGTATCACAAGTGAGTGTTCCAGCATCCTCATGAACCTCATGGCTTGAAGTGTTTGCATGAACTGTGCAGATTTTTGTGCTTAGGTGACCCGGTATGTGCTCCATGCGTTTTCTCTTTTTTTTTTCTTGCTCACATTTACAGCAGCATTTCCCACGCTTGGCCTCAAGTGCCATTGAGAGGTCTTGATTTGAAGAAAGGAGCTGGGGTGTAGGCAAAATTTGAAAAAAAAAAAAAAAAAAAAGCATTCAAATAGCCTATGTTTGAGAAAAGAACTAAAACATATAATGGGGAAGTTACATAAAAGTAAGTCTAGTGCAAAACTAGGATCTGCAATTTAGCAAGTCGTTTTGAAATTATAAGTAGTCTTGTCAGATATTTAATTCACAAAGCATGCATGTTGGAAAATATGCTTGCAGTTTCTGGAAAAAAAAAAATTAAGTCTGTAGTACCTGCTGCAAAAAGCTCCCCCCCCGATCTGAGGACTAGTATGGAGATAATAAAAGGGACTTCAACAAGAAGCAAAACCCATGTACACTAGACGTTTTAAAAAATTGTCTCTTATTCAGGTTTAGCTTCACCACACAACTATGGTGTGGTGAAGCTAAACCTGTCCACTAAGCGCTGTTATGAGTGCAGAATACACAATGGTTTTGCATCCAGTGCTTGGGACCAGTTTTGTTCTTAAAGTGTTACTAAACCCACAACTGTAAAATCAGTTTGTACCTTAAAGCAAGCTTGTTATGCTTGCTGTAGAACCTAAGGGGTTAATCTTTGACATTGTGTAAAAAGGCTGTTTGATCCTGTCCTAGTGATCCTCCCCCTTCTTCTACTGTCTTCAATCCATCTGTGATAGTACAGAGCTCTAGGAGTCACTATAGAAATGCATGGGTCAGTTTAGTGCGTATTGGTAGAGCAGGGTTTTTTATTCTTTGGGAAGGTGCATGTGATCTGCACAGGGCCAGTCACCACAGTCCAGACAGAGGGTCAGGGGTCGTTAAGGCTCATAGGACAGATCATAGCAGAATGCTCAGCTCGACACTCATAGAAGTCACAAGACTGCTCTAACTGCTGATGAGAAAAGGTATTTAGCAGTGTATATGTACTAAAATAATTGCATTTCCATGTTCTGTGTACTGTGGGAGACCAATATAGTGAATGCAGGGTCTGGGGAGACCAGATATAGTGAATGCAGGGTCCGGGGAGACCAGATATAGTGAATGCAGGGCCTGGGGAGACCAGATATAGCGAATGCAGAGTGCGGGGAGACCAGATATAGTGAATGCAGGGTCCGGGGAGACCAGATATAGTGAATGCAGAGTCGGGGAGACCAGATATAGTGAATGCAGGGTCCGGGGAGACCAGATATAGTGAATGCAGGGTCCGGGGAGACCAGATATAGTGAATGCAGAGTCCGGGGAGACCAGATATAGTGAATGCAGGGTCCGGGGAGACCAGATATAGTGAATGCAGGGTCCGGGTCGGAGACCAGATATAGTGGATGCAGGGTCCGGGGAGACCAGATATAGTGGATGCAGGGTCCGGGGAGACCAGATATAGTGGATGCAGGGTCCGGGGAGACCAGATATAGTGAATGCAGGGTCCGGGGAGACCAGATATAGTGAATGCAGGGTCCGGGGAGACCAGATATAGTGAATGCAGGGTCCAGGGAGACCAGATCTAGTGAATGCAGGGTCCGGGGTTTAGTAACACTTTAATACCTCCCAACTGTCCTGTCAGAAAAAGCAGTGTTTTCACTATCTCCTGTTGTGGCACCTTAACTAATGAGTGGCAAAACTATACGTTTTGGACATAGTCCTGTATACTAAGCTGTTTGCGGTACAATCTTTCAGGCCATTTGAGGGATGCTGAGTGGACATCAATTTTGTATTCACACTGAGAAAATGTCATCTGGTTCATTAGGAACTCAATAAAACTTGCTCTGTTGGTGGACCTACTGGCACCCTCATGCTAGATATTTTTCAATCAAAGGAGCCGAGCAGAAAATTGTTGCCTGAACAGTGCCTACATCCAGTCATATGCAGGCACAGTTTGGGTGTTTTGGCAGCCAGTTGCACCGACTGTCAGAATACAATAACCGCAGCAGAAGACTCATCCATCCATGCTGTTTAGTGTGCATGAAGAAATCAGCCTGCGGACTGAATTAAAACAATCTATTTGTATGGCCAGCTTTAGTCCCATATCTATGGGAGCCCAAGTTACTGCTTTAAAGCTAGAATGTGGTGTTCTGTAATCTGCTTTTGTAATTCCCTAATCACAAAGATATTATGCTTTCTGGCTGAGACATTTTAAGAGGACTGTTGTGTTGGCCATACTCTAAAGCAGCCTTTAATAAACCAGGGTGCCTTCAGGATTCTTCAGGGGTGCCTTGACAAAATGCCTAAAAATTGCCCAAAAAGTGTATAAAAGCTAGAATGGTGGATGAAGCCTGCATTTTAGGCTAACCTAACATCCAATGACCTAACAATCGATGACCTCATCGCTTGATAAAGAGAACATCCAGTACCTGCACAGCATCCTTGTTTGCTGCCCCCCTGTCCCTCTCTGTCAACACTGGGGTCACATTAGCAGACCCCAGTAGAGAAACACTGGAATACTATTCAGTACCTGTGTGCAAAGGTGTATTTGGTTTGAAAGAATAAACCACCTCTAGTGTTGGGTGTTCTATTATTATTATTACATCGAGTTTATATAGCGCCAAAGGGTTTGCTCAGCGCTGTACAATAGAGGGGGGACAATACATGAAACAGTACAGCAACAACAAACAGTACACGAGGGGTTAGAGGGCCCTACTCTTTCGAGCTTACAATCTAGGCGGGAGGGGGTAGTGGTACAGGAGGAAGTGGCTGCGGGGGATGGAGTGGTAGGAGGAATGAAGGGGAACAGCTGTTAGGTGAGGGTGGGGTAGGCTTCCCTGAAGAGGTGGGTTTTCAGGGAGCGCCTGAAGGTGAGGAGGGAAGGTGACAGTCTGATGGATTGGGGTAGTGAGTTCCAGAGGATGTTTTGTGAAGGTTGCTGTAATATGTAAAACTATTAGTTTAGTTTTTTACAACTGATGTCTGCTTTTTAGTGCCCTTAGTTTTAACATTACAAAATGGGATGTCTGCAGAATTTTACCAGGTGCCTTAACTGAAAAAAGCTTGAGAAACAGCTCTAAAGTCCCGTAAAAGTAAATTCTATAGACCTGTTCTCTATTGGTGATGCTCTGCAAGATCAGTCCCAAACCTATAGAGTGCACAGGAAAGGCTTAAGTCATAGCTTTGTCCTGTTTATGTTTATAACCATTGTAAAGGATTAAGAGTCAGTGAGCTACAAGTCTGTTCAACTGAGGTTATTGCAGATCTGTAACAGGCCTGACCAGCTTGCCAATGTACAACCATCCATCAAACTGCAAGCTATTAACTTTAAATTCCAATTTTGTTGACGGAAAAGAAGTCCTCTCAGGCGGTTCAGGACTAGTATTTTAGGACGTTTTAAGTGCAGAATTGTACCTTTCTCTGTTTACAAGAAACTGATGTCTGCCTTATTGTGCCCTTTCTGTGATCTATGACGGTCTTCATTGTGAGCTTCTGAGACCTTTTTCAGTCTTGGGAGTTAGATACATCTTTTGCACTGCACAGCAGGCACGTGACACACTTGCATTATGGTTTAGCAATACAGCTTCCTTTGTCACCTATCTGCCTCCAGTCTGCTTGAGCAATTAATCTGCTCCTATTACCTTCTTCAGGAAGGAGGAGACTGCTGTAAGCTAAAGCTGGGCACACATGGAGTAAATGTTTCTATGGTATCTAATGTAACGGCTGAAATTCCCTCATTGGGTGGACCTTTCAACCTTCTCCCACCCAACATTCCTTGATTTGAAAATTTGAAGGAGCTGGGTGAAAAATTGTCAGCCGAACAGCACCTCAGATGTAAGCATTGTCCTGGTATTTTGACAGATAGCAGTTCCAGCTGTCAAAATACAATAGACAGTGCAGGCGATTTCTTTCATCTGCACTGCTGAGCGGGGAACATGTAAGGCTTTTTTGTTTTCATTCAGCCCACTGCAAAAAAAGCTATGAATAAACTTTAAAGAGTTATGCAGGCCATAAACGGTTTGTTTATCGGACGATTTTTCTTCCGAAAGAATAATCGGCCGATTTTCGCACTTTTAGTGGGGCAATGGCATCGGCCAATTTTCGCTGTTCCTCCTCATTTCTTTTATCGGTCATGCTGGAAAATGTGTGAAAAACGGCCGATTTTCACAATCATTGGTGGCAACAGAACGACCGATGTTTCGTTTTTCGGACGAAAAATCGGCTAATAAACGAACAGTCTATGGCCTGCATTAGTTCAGATTTACAGACAAAATGTAAAGGTGAACTAACACCGGACACCGGCTCAACAAAAAAAATCTACGTGTATGACCAGCTTAAGTCAGGGAGTATACAACAGAATGGAGAATACGAGCGCTGGATAAAAACCAAGGAGCGACTAGCATGAAAGGCGAACCTCAAAGGCCTCAATGATAAATGTATATATAAAAGCATGCAGCGCTAATAAAATTAGGAAGATCAAATATAATATCCTGAAACGTAAATACCAAACAAGTAAACCCTTCAAGGCTTAATCTTATACATAAAAAGATAATATGGTAAAATGACGTTCAGACGCCACATATAACCTATTGGCTGCTTTGTGGGATATTCTGTCATATCTCCCTCTCACTTTGTAATTTTGGGGTGGTTCTGCACTGCTTGCAGCGTTGCCCCTTATGCCTTGTCTTCTTCATTATATTGAGCCCTTAGATAGAAAAAAGCAGGATGTCTCGGGTTTACATAGATGAAAGAACCTTTTTATTTTTTTTTTAAGTTGGGTAAAAACATGTCTAAAAGAACATGGTCCCCCGTAAACTCATTCAGGTTGACTTCTACAGGTCTTGATCTGTAGAGCTCCTTTTCTCTGCATGAGGCAACCCAGTGTAGGTGTCTTTTTTTTCCTTTTTTTTTTTT